AAAACGGAGTGGCTGAGAGGAAGAATAGGTCAATCATGGATATGGTAAGGTGCATGTTGAAATCCAAGGATCTGCCTAAACCTTTTTGGGCAGAAGTTGTTGCTTGTGCTGTCTATGTGTTGAATAGGTGTCCAACTAAGAGTGTCCGTGATAAGACGCCCGAAGAAGCTTGGAGTGGGAGAAAACCCTCTATCAAGTATCTCAAGGTTTTTGGATGTTTGGCATATGCCCACGTGCCGGATCCATTGAGAAAGAAGTTGGATGATAAAGGTGAGAAGTGCATATTCATTGGTTATAGTGACGCTTCAAAGGCTTATAAACTATACAATCCTGAAACTAAAAAGGTTGTTATAAGTCGTGATGTCACTTTTGATGAATATGGTGCCTGGGATTGGTTAGCTAAAGATGAAAGTTCAGTTGTTATTCCTGCTGTTGAAAATATTGTTGAAGAGCAACCGATTCCAGATAATGTCCAGTCTCCTTCACAGCCGGAGTCGTCAGTTCGACGATCTCAGCGCGAGCGCCACTTACCAGCTCGCTTGCAAGATTGTGTTTTGGGTCATGATAATGACCTGTCTGATGAAGAAATTGTTCAATTTGCTCTCTTTGCAGATTGTGATCCTTTAACTTTTGAGGAGGCTGCTACAGAAACTCATTGGCTTAAGGCGATGGATGAGGAGATCCGTGCCATTGAAAAGAATGGTACCTGGGAGTTAACAGATTTACCTCCTGGAAAGAAGCCAATTGGAGTGAAGTGGGTTTACAGAACGAAGTACCAGTCAAATGGAGAAATTGACCGTTTTAAGGCACGGTTAGTAGCAAAGGGTTACAAGCAGAAACCAGGTATTGATTATTTTGAGGTTTTTGCTCCTGTAAGTAGACTTGATACAATTCGAATGGTTATTTCTCTTGCTGCTCAAAATGATTGGAAATTGCATCAAATGGATGTCAAGTCTGCTTTTTTGAATGGTTTTCTTGAAGAAGAAATATATGTTGAGCAACCTGCAGGATTTCTGAAGAAAGGGGAGGAAAATAAAGTGTACAGGTTGAGAAAAGCCTTGTATGGCTTAAAGCAAGCGCCTAGGGCGTGGTATGGTTGCATTGACTCATATTTTGTTGAAAGTGGTTTTGTGAGATGTCCTCATGAACACACTTTGTATGTCAAATGCACGGATTCTGGTGATATTGTTTTAATCTGTCTGTATGTTGATGATCTGGTTTTTACTGGAAACAACTTGAAGCTAATCTCAGAATTCAGGGAGGCACTCATTAAGAGGTTTGAAATGACCGATATGGGCCTTATGTCTTACTTTCTTGGCCTTGAGGTTATTCAGATGGATGGTGGAATCTTTATTTCACAGAAGAAGTATGCTGCTGATATTTTGAAAAAGTTCAAAATGGAAAACTCCAAACCAGTTTCGACTTCGTTAGCTGAAAAGTTAAAGGTGTCCAAAGATGAGTGTGGTAAGAATGTGAACGTTACATCTTATAAAAGCTTAATTGGGAGTTTGAGGTATCTGGTGGCAACAAGGCCAGATATTTCTTTTGGAGTTGGAATTCTTAGCAGATTCATGGAGGAACCAAAAGAATCACATTGGGCTGCAGCAAAGCGAATTCTGAGATATGTCAAAGGTACAAGTAATGATGGAATTTTTTACTCTACTAATGAAACTGTGGAACTTGTTGGGTACACAGACAGTGATTGGGCTGGAGATGTTGAGACTAGAAGAAGCACGTCAGGGTATGCCTTCTATCTTGGTTCGGCCATATTTTCTTGGTCTTCAAAGAAGCAACAGATTGTAGCACTTTCAACCGCAGAAGCAGAATATATTGCAGCAGCAAACTGTGCTACTCAAGCAGTTTGGCTGAGGAGAATTTTGGAATTTCTACAACACAACCAAGAAGCACCTACAACTATTTTTTGTGACAACAAATCAGCAATATCGTTGTCCAAAAATCCAGTCTTTCATGGTCGCAGCAAACACATTGATATCAAGTATCACAAAATCAGAGAGTTGGTTGCTGAAAAGCAAATCAACATTGAGTATTGTTCAAGTGAATGTCAAGTTGCAGATATCTTTACGAAGCCGCTGAAGACAGAGACATTTCTCAAATTGAAGAAGGAAATTAGAATGACCAATATATCCAACTTGGTTTAAAGGAGGCAATGTTATAATAATATTATTATTATAATTATTAAACCAAGCAAGTAATTAATAATTAGTTAATTTGTTGGAAATAATGAAAGTAATGGGTGTGGGTCATGCATTGTATGTGAAGAGTGGCCTAAATTATAGCATTAGTACATGGAGCATTAGCTTCCTGATTAGTAGCTTTCATTTAGTATAAATATGTGGTTTGTATTCATTTGTTAATCATCCCTTCAAATAACATTATTCATTCCTCTCTCTTCTCTCTCAATATATAAATATAATATATTGATATATTATATTTAATATATATTATAGATATATTATATTATATTTAATATACATTATATTAAATATAATATTATATTTAATATATCTAACAATAACAGACTTATAAACTATAACCACAAATATAAACTATATGTTATAATGGAATTATATTATTACTAACATCCCACACGACAAAATGTGTTGGTGCTTGATGCCTAACATTCACCATTATTTCACCTCTCTTCTTTCACATAATCACATATCATGCCATTTCTATTATCCCCGTACCACTTCCAAATCAAATTCATGAGAAATGCATTCAATTTTGACCGCGAGAAATACTCGAATTTTTTATTACTCAAAAGTGATAAAACTCTAAGATCTTTAAGTAGAAATGATCATTTAGACTATTTTTCAATTACTTTTGTAGATGTACAAAACTTCTTCTTAATAATTATGACTACCAGAGTACCAGGTCAAGCGGTAAAAAATTATAACAACATTTATGGTGGTCAAAAATTAAAGTTCAGTCGCATGTCATAAATGGATAAACCCTAATGTTCCGACCACCTATTGGTCTATGTTGCATGGGTTTCTTGTCGAAAGAAACCCAAACACAACTAGTTTCTCATGTGGCGGTTGGAGTCTAGTATTGGACTCTATCAATATATTAGATAACAACAAAAATTAACATAGAATTACTTCTTCCTCTCCTTTTTTTTTTTTTTCTTCTTTGTTCCTCACAGAGACTTTTGCTAGGAAATCTCTGGATGATTGCTAGACTTGTTTTAACATTTACAACAAATTAAAGGAAGAAGATAAATAAAGCCAAGCACCTTGTGTTTAGATGGCATGAAGTGACTCTTCTATATGGGAAGTCATGAAATCGAGCCTCAATGGAGATGATGTTGACTCTTTGTATTTCAATAGGTTGAGAGTTGGTAGTACTCAGAAAAGGGAAGAAAATAAATAAAATGAGTTTTGAAATGATGCCAAAGAGAACAAAGGATGCAAATATATATAAAAGAATTCAAAATTTTCATATATATATATTTTTAATTTGATGAGTTTTGAAATGATGCCAAAGAGAACAAAGGATGCAAATACATATAAAAGAATTCAAAATTTTCATTTTTTTTTTAATTTGAAATTTGTTGATAGTAAAAAAGTTGGCCCGTTGTTGGGGTTGAAAAATTTCCAACTACATTCTGATGGTGATCAGAATCTCAGACTATTTTTGTTTAGTGATTGGAAATTTCAACTACTTTCTAGGCATCGTACATGATGATTGAAAAAGGTAAAAAGAATTTCAAATTTCTAACTACTTTTTATGGTGGTCGAAAGTTTGCGATTTTATAGTAATGTTTAAATCTTCTGGCATAGTTTTATGACTGTTTAAATTCATTTGGTCATCTATGAAACTACTTTCTTAGTGCTATGTGTTTAGGTCTCGTTAACACTTTTTGGGTGGTTAAAATTTTACGATTTTATAGTAGTGTTTAAACCTTCGGCATAGTTTTATGACTATTTAAATTCATTTGCCATCTATGAAAGTATGAAACTACTTTCTTAGTACTATGTGTTTAGTTCAGTTCACGATATTTGATTAAAATTTTTTACAATTCATTTTTTTTTTTTGTAATATTGAATTTAGTGTGACTGCATACAATATATATAATACTATTAAACACAAAAAAAGTTGAACTTTAAATTTATCAGAAAATGTTAAACCAAATAACAAAAAAAAAAAAAAAATTCTTCCAAAAAAAACAAAAAAATAAGAGTTGGATTGATCAATTAATAATAAAAATGACATTTAAAATATGATAGAAGGAGTAGTTAATTCTATTATAAATTAATTGAATAAAAGTATGCCAAGAATAATAAGACTTTGAGATGGCATTCTGTTCAAACATGAAAAGTATAAATTGAAATCAAAATAAAAATATAATAATTAAAATAAGTTTTATAACATGGAAGAATTTCTCTTTTGTGCACATGTTTAAATACATATTTCAATCATTTTTTAATTTTGATTTCTTTCTAATAGAATGAGTAAAGTACCTATGAGATCCTTGTACTATAATGTTTTGTTAAATTTAATCATTGTATTTTTATTTTGTTCAATTTAGTTCATAACTTTATAAAGTGGTGTAATTAAGTATAATAGTTAACAGTGTTATATTACAATTAACTTAGCTTACATGGTGCTGAGATCAACACGTTATCCATTGAAGCATATGATATATAAATAAAATGTCACAAATATAATCTCTATAATTTTATTATATATATTTATAAGTATAAAAAATATTATAAGTAAAGTGTTTGTCACTTATAAAAAATATGTAATACTTTTTAAGTAAAATATACGAAATAATATTTTTAAATCACATTTTAATTTAAAAGTATTACATTTTTTAACATTTTATTTCTATTTTTAATTAGTATTACATTTTTCAATGTAAGTATTGTATTTTTATCTTGACCGAGTCAGAATTCTTGAGACGATTTCATAAGTTTTTTTTACCGAAAAGAAAAGAAAAGCGACCTTCCAAAAAAAAAAAAAAGAAAAAAGCGACGGTGGCGGATGTAATTTGAGCGAAATGGGAGTCCAAATCCGTCAATTTAAGCGGAAAGGACGAAAAGAAAGAAGAGCGAGCGTATATAGAGAGAAAGTGCGCGTTGTTTTGGAGAAGGGGACTCGTGGACACAGTCCAGCTTTGATGCGTGGAAGCAGGTGGCTTACGCAGGGGATGGCGAGATCGCGCTGGAAGCTATATACTCCCTCTCCCCCTCCATCTCTGTAAACCCTAGCCGCTTCCTCTTTGATTTCATTGCGATTACTCAACCCCTCAGGTTTCATTTTCCTACCAGATCATCTGCATTGCGATTCACATTTCCAGATTTTTTTTTTGAAAACCGGATTACGTTCTAATTTGTGATTTGGATTTGACTTTCTCTGCATTCGCATTACTTTTTTTTTTTTTTTTTTTTTTTTTGTTCATATTGATCTTTGATTTCTCATTGTTCTGGTTGGAATAGAGAATGGCGATGGAGGTGACGAAGCTGTTGTACATAGTGGTAGTAGACGATGAAGATGGGAAGAGGGAGAAAGACTCGTTCCGATACACGCGTTCGGTTCTGCAGAGTACTCTGCAGCTCATGGGGTGCAAACCGAGACATGCCTTTAAGGTACTTCTTTCCTTCTTTTTTTGTTTCCTAAAGTATTATAAGCCTTTTTTTTTTTGGGTTCTCCTGATATGTTGTTTTGAAATGTATTTTGTGCAGCGTGTAATACTTGCTTTTGTGAATTAATTTTGAAGAAATATTTATATAAGCCTTGCACGTTCCAATGAAAAATTTCTGATCTCGGATGTGCTCTAAACTCTGCTATGTGTCTTGCAGTGGTAGATCGTTGCTGCATTCTCATTGGATTTATGACTACCTTTAAAATGTTGACTTTTCCTGAATGCTTTAGTACAGTAACTTTGCAAGGTTTAGTTAGTTTGAGTGGGTACAGTAACTTTGCAAGGTTTAGTTAGTTTGAGTGGGAATTACGGGATTTTTGTGAAGTTAGATGAGGCTTATTTGAACTCTGCCGTTGGTGACTGTTGGAAGCAACAACAACTATGCTGTATGTTTTTCCTACAAAAGGATGGGCACTCATTCTGCTATTCACATTCTGATGTCATATTTTTCATTGATTCTTTCACTCTCTGCAGTTTACTTGAGAGATGAATGTTGTTTTCATGAGTGTTTGTTTAGGGCTAACCTTTGAAAATTTTTAAATTTGCAGATGAAGTTTTGTGGCTTATATGATTGAAATTGCAAACTTTACCCTTTTTTTGGTCGGACTTGTTCCATTAATATGGAGAGCAATTAAATTTGAAATTGCCAACCATGTGTTGGACTTGTATTCACCTACCTTAGGTGTTTCACTTGTTATATGATAATTTTTCTCTTTAATGAGACTGCAGAAGAATGTGACATAATGAGTATTCCCAATTGTTTGATTTCATGGTAACTCTGGTATATTTTATTTTATGCCTGAGCCATCATTTGATATATTATATGCTATTGTGACTGAAAGTTTATTTTTCTATTCAGATTAGCCAAAGGGTTTTGGAGAAGATGAGAAACAAGTCCACAAGTGACAGTTTGGTTTCAGTGTGTGCATACAAATCAGAGCAGGATACCTTAAATCAACTTCAGGAAGAGGACTATCATAATAATATTAGTGCATGCTTGGATAGAGCAAATGATGGAGCTAAAAGCGAACCATTTGAATTGTATAAAAGGCGCACAACTGTTGTTGTCAGAAGAAAAACTTTTCTAGATGTTATTTGTGATGCTCTCACAGAATACAAGTATGTTGGCCCAAATCAGAGGGCTGATCTAACTTTAGCTTGCAGGTAAGCTAGCTGACCTTGCACTTCAACTCATCTTTGTAAATTATGACCTGTGTATGTAAGTTGATGTTTGTAGGGTCCTTATTCTTGTGAACTTTACCAAGGCATTTACAACATCTGCTTCATTAGGTTTATAGAAGTAGAGAAGTGGGCTCAACAGTGTATCTTGCTTAGGTTTTTTTTTGGGCGGGTCATTACAGTTGTTATCAGGCTTGGTCTGGTAACCTAAACTTTTTGACAATATTCAAAATCTTGTGTTTTCTATGTATCTCCATTTCCTTTCAAGAAGTATATACCTCGTTTTTCTTTGTGTGAAGAGAAAGAAACATCAAGAAAAGAGTGACAGAAAGGGCTGAAATATATCCATTCACTAAATTGTTTCATCAAGAAAAGAGTGACAGAAAGGGCTGAAATATATCCATTCACTAAATTGTTTTGCTCCTGAATTTTGCCTTTTGTTGTTGGTGTAACAAAGTAACAATTGAGAGGGAGAGGTTTGGAACTCTGCAGAGCCCTGCAGCAAGTGGGTAGTTGGGTCTTTGACTTGAGGATGAATTCATTTTTCAGAGTGAAGTTATTACTGCAAGCTTTTATAGTTTGTGGATGTAGTTACTCACTTATCCAGACCTTCCTCCTGGAATGTCAGATGTTTCTGAATCTGATTAAAATAAAGTTGCTGCTAACATGGTTTGATGACTAGCATGGTTGGTCTTGATATTTAAAGATGTTTGTGGATGTAGTTACTCACTTATCCAGACCTTCCTCCTGGAATGTCAGATGTTTCTGAATCTGATTAAAATAAAGTTGCTGCTAACATGGTTTGATGACTAGCATGGTTGGTCTTGATATTTAAAGATGTTTGTGGATGTTTGACTGAGAACACCCTGAACTAAAGAGTAAAGTTCCTAATATCCAGGCAATGCAAACTACATGATGTTCCATAGATTAGCACACTTTTTCTTTCTAACCTAGTGTCCACGGTCATTTAGATATGTGGTTGATATGGTGATTTTACAGGTCTTTATTTTTATTTAAATTGCTATGGTGTTTTTCATAATACTAATACCTAATTGTTTCAGAATCCGAGAAAGAAAGGAATCTATTACTGTACTCCTTTGTGGAACAAGTGGCTGCGGTAAATCTACTTTGTCTGCACTATTGGTATGAATTCTTTGACTGCCTAGGCCCTTTTAGTTTATGTTGTTGCTCTTTTGAACTTCAGGTCCCTTTTCTCTTTTATCCACCCAGTGGCCCATTGAACCTCACCCTTCCCCCAAAATAAATAAATAAAAACTGAAAATGAAAAGCTACAGATTTTTCTTGGGTAGGGTCCGGAGGGATTGACATTTCAGAATTTTGTGTGGTCTTTAGTATTTTTCCCAGTGAAAGTGTCTCACTGAATTGTGCTTGACATCACATCTGTCCAACATCTTGTCAGGTGTCTGTAGATGTAACCTTTTATTTCTGAGCATGGAGATTTGCAACTCATTCCTCGCATGGCTTCTGGGTCTTAATAATGAGATCTCAAGTGCTGAAAATAGTATTGAAAACAGTTTGTATCATCTCTTTTCTTCAGCTATGTTTATATTCTACAGGGCAGCAGGTTGGGAATCACAAATGTAATATCTACTGACTCAATTAGACATATGATGAGGAGCTTTGTGAATGAAAAACAAAATCCTTTACTGTGGGCTTCAACGTACCATGCTGGGGAATATTTAGATCCAATAGCAGTTGCTGAGGCAAAGGCCAAACGAAAGGCAAAGAAGTTAGCTGGTTATTCAAACCCACAACTACAGAAGAATGATGCTACTAATCAGATGACAAGTCGGAAGTCTCCTGCAGAGGGGAATCCTAGTGCTGTTGATTTAATCAGTCCAAAACAAATGGCAATTGAAGGTTTTAAGGCACAGAGTGAGATGGTTATTGATAGTCTTGACAGATTAATCACTGCTTGGGAAGAGCGGAAAGAATCAGTTGTCGTGGAGGGTGTTCATTTGAGTCTTAATTTTGTGGTACGAATCTGATATCTAAACTTGTGTCTAAAACATTTCCTTTTCTGGTGTTCTTTTACCTCTTGTGGCTAGTGTTTGAATTGCAATTCTATTTTGACATGCAGATGGGACTAATGAAAAAGCATCCTTCAATCATACCTTTTATGGTTTTCATTGCAAATGAAGAGAAACATTTGGAACGGTTTGCTGTCCGTGCAAAATACATGACACTAGATCCTGCTAAAAACAAGTATGTTAAATATATACGTAACATCAGGACTATACAAGAGTATCTCTGCAACCGTGCTGACAAGCATCTAGTTCCAAAGATTAACAACACTAACGTTGATAGAAGTGTTGCAGCCATTCATGCCACTGTATTTGGCTGCCTACGCAGACGTGAGGCAGGAGAGAAGCTTTATGATCCAATCACAAACACAGTTCCTGTTGTTGATGAAGAATACAGGAATCAGTGTGCTGCTAATTCCTTGAGCTCCAAGGGTATGCTCCAACTGATTCAAAGAAAAGGTTCTTCAAGGCATTTGATGGCTCTTTTCAATAATGATGGATCAGTAGCAAAGGCTTGGCCAGTAGACTCAGTAGATAGCAACGGCAAACCCATCATGGAAAATGGATTTGGGATGTCTATGTATGGTCCCTTGCAGATTGGGAAGGCCGAACCTGTTAATCTGCAGTTTGGGCACTTTGGGATCAGTGCTTGGCTCAGTGAGACTGGTTGCACAAGTCATGCCAGCAGTGTGGATGAATCAAGGGGAGACTTGACAGATAATGGCAGTAGGTATTATTCTTCCTGCTGCAGTTCACCAAGATTCCATGAAGGGCTATCCAAGGAGGTGAGTTTTGCTTATTCTAATGAACGCTTATAAACTAGCTTGCATAGTTCAAAGCTTCTAAGTTAGAAGCTATAGCTGGTGTTTGTTCGACTGTCATTTCCCAATTCAATTAACAAAATTAGTACAGTACTTTCTTTAGCTCCTGATCTTATTTTTGAGCTTTGCAAATTTATTCTATTTTTCCATACTTGGTTTCCTTTGTAATCATTTTTAATTCTAGTTTCCTCTTACAGCTCAAAGAAGAACAATCTGTGCATGGTAGTGATGAAGAGATTGATGAGCCACCTGAAATAGATAGTGATGAGGATTTAAGTGATGATGGTTCAAAACATTTTCATGAGGAGGTAGGCATGAAATTTGATGCCATGTTCTTAGCAATTCTTTTTTATTTTTTCCAGTCTATTATTTGCTGAGCTGGCTTAGTGGCTTAAGTCAAATTATTATAAGTATTAGGAGATTTACCACTTCAATGCTAACTTCCTTTCTTAGGGCTTGATAGTAGGTGCATACATTTTTGATTTATTTGTTTGTGGGATACTACTTTTCACAGTTGGAAGGGTCAGTGGATGAGGAGTTTACGAAATCAGATGAGGAGTACGATGATCTTGCTATGCTCGATATCCAACAGAGTGGTTACAGTTGTGACAATGATGACAAATCTAAGAAAACCCTCTTTGAGTCTAGTGACAGGATGGTACCAGTCTCAGGAGATCATCAGGAAATTAACGAGCTTGAAGAAAACCAAAAAGAAAGCTTCTCGAGAACCAAGAGTGAGACGTTTTTGGAGCCACCACTGCGCCGCTATTCATCTCATCGAGAGAAGAACGAGAAGAGAGCAGTGTGTAATGGCAACGTGAGAATTAAAAAGCGTTCTCTGAGCATCCCATCCCTCGGGTCCATGATATTAAACAGTAATGCAACCTCAAGGTAAGAGGCACAGTTTTGCCACTGTTTGTCATTGTTGTTGTTGATGATGATGAGTCTTGTTTTGTGAAATCCTCAGTCACTTGTGTTTTAACTTCCCATGTCCTTTAACACGTCCCCTCCCTCCCTCCCTCTCAGTGTTGTGTTGTATATAATGGTGCATTTAGATGAGTGTGTTGATGCACCTGTTCCAGGTTATTTATTGATTTTAACAAAGTGCAAATGGTGTTACCTTCCTGATTAGTAATTTTATGGACCTGTTTTTAACTCCTCCAAACCCTCCCCAAATCATTATTCAATGGATCATGGTCCACAGATTTATGTGAACTATAAACAAAAAGTACATTTTTAATATATTAAAAATACATTATTTATATACATAAAGTATATTATTTTAAAGAAAAATGACACTTTTTCTCCCGAGTTATATACTTATAGCATTCTTTTTCTCTGAATTACATATAAGCACATTAGCCTTCTCAATTATTTTAAAAGTGATGGTTTTCCCTCTTAATATATTAGATTAACATTTCTACTCTTAGTATAAATATTTTTATTTATTTTTCTTCTCCAATAAATTATTCTTCCAAAAGGTTGAACCCTAACCCCAAATTATTGCGTATACGTAGGGATGATCACGATTTGAATTGAATCGGACACTATAGCAATCGAATTAAAAGTTTCCGGTTATGATTCAGATCCAGAATCAAATATTTTAGTTTATTAAAATTATGAATCTGAAAAACTAAATCTTGAATCATGAACTGGCGGTTCCGGATCCGGTTCGCGATTTTGAATCGTCTTTATTTTAAACTTTTATGTTTTATTTTAAAATAGTCTAAATTCAACAATAAATGTATTTTTTTTAGTTCGGAACATGAACCGGTCGTCCCGGTTCGCGATTTTAATAAACTCTAATTATCGGGTTTTGATTCTAAATTGTAATTAAAATATTTCAATTTGGTTGCTAATAGTGTCTGTTTGGTTTGAACCAAAATGTTGTTATAATTTGTTAGAGAAGAAAAATAAATGAAATATTTATTTTAAGAGTAAATATGTTCATTTAACATTTTAGCGAAAAAATCAATCACTTGAATAATTCAGGAGGAAAAAGTGCTAGAGGTATATAACTCTACAATTTTCCTTATTTTAAAGTGCATGATTTTTTATATATTATCAAATAATGTATATTCAGTGCACAAATAATTTACTTTTGATATATTTAAATTGTATATTTCATTTATGGTCTATACAGAAATGTGGATCATGATTCACACAGTAATGTACCTTTGTCTGCCAAATCACACTATTAAGGCAATTTATATCCTACACCACGGCGCGTGTTGCATTGTGTACCCAAATGCCAAACGACCTTGTTTTAATTTTTAATTTTTATTTTTTAAAATTTCGCTACCCAGTGTTTGGCAGTTAATTTTTCTTAAAAAAAAATCTCATGTTCAAAAATGTACATAATGTTATACTAGAATACACATAATTGTATACATAAATGTACATAATTATATAACAAATTACACATAATATTTTTTAAAAGATAATACACATAATCTAACATAATACATACGGAGTAATAAACATAAACTTTTAAAATAATACACATCAACTCTTAACATAATAGACAAAAATTTCCTGATTCGGATGTACATAATTGTATAAAAAAATGTACATAATTGTATAAAAAATGTACATAATAAAAAATATACATAATTGTATAAACAAATATACATAATCATGTCAACTTCCTACCGCCTCCAAAAACAACATCGTTTTGGGAGACGCGGGGCGCACAGTGCACTATGCACCGTGGTGCAGGGTATAACGATTGCACTATTAAGGGTAGACCGTAATACTAATCTTTATCCCTACAATTTCTTTACTTTCAAAACTGAATTCTACTGTCATATTATGGCCTTGTTTGGTAAAAAAATTGGCTTATAGGCTAATTTTAGCTTATTTGACCATTATTAATTGTTTGATTTAGTTAAAATATCAGTATAAATATTTGATTAATTAACTATTTGCAACTCCAAAAGGCTAAAATTCAAAAAGCTATTCCAAGTAACTTTTCAATTAGCTTTTAAAAAAAGAAATTATACTAAACAGCAATTAGCTAACAGCTAATTTACTAAACACTTTGCAACAATCAGCTAATGTTATCAACTATTTATACCATCTAATTAACACAATCCGCTAACAGCTAACAGCCATTTTACCAAACAGGCCTATGACGTTTGTAATTTTACATTATTATTTTTACATTATTAAATTTTAATTCATCTTAAAAATATAGTATGATAATATTACTTCAAATTATTTAAAAAGGCCAAAAGTAAATATCTTGCCAAAAGTTGACATGCAATGTCATACTATTTTTGTAATCCGACTATTTGTAGGAATAGACAATTCTTGAAATGTGTTTTAATTGTTTGTACATTAATATTCACAATTTTTTGATTGATCACTTCATTTAAAATTTAGGCTCTGTTTCGAAAGTAAGAAAATAACTTCTGAAAAATATTTTTTGAAAAATAAGTCATTTTTTAGAAAATATTTTAATTTTTAATATTTGACTACACAACGAAAAACTGTCTTTGAGTGTTCTGTTCATTGTTTAAAAAAATGAATAGAAAAATGGTAAGAATTGTATACTTCAACATTTTAATTATTTGATATTTTTAATATTTTTTTTTTTTTTGTTGTAAATAGCACTCATTAAATACATACCGTGTGTATGTATATATATATATATATATATATATCTATATATATATATATATATATATATATATATATACACACACACACACACACTAACAGTATATATATATTATGTATATATAGTGTATATATATAGTATGTCTATATATAGTAACAATATATATATAGTGTATACATATAATATGTATATATAGTCACAGTATACATGTATATATACACAGTATACACAATGTATATATAGACAGTATACACTATATATATATATATATATATATATATATATATATATATAGTGTATAATGTGTATATATATACATGTATAGTGTGTATAGTGTTTAGGGTTTAGGGTATATACTGTGCATATTGTGTATATATACCACCATGTGTATATTGTGTGTGTGTGTGTATATATATATATATATATATATATATATATATATATATATATATATATATATATATATATATATATATATATATATATATATATATATATATATATATATATATGGGGAAGGGTTCATGTGCGTGTATAGCTTCCCATGTGGTTGTGTGGCTAGATTTGAGTCGTTGATCAAATCTAGATTAACGGCTCAAATCAATGAAAAAAAAAACGCGTGTCTGGAAGAAAGCCACACACCTTTAAGTGTTAGATCTTAAGCACAAACTCACGCACATTAAGTACAAAACCCACGCACATTAAGCACAAAACCCACGCATTTAAGTATTAACTCACAGACTTTATGTTTCAACAACTACTGACATTAAGCACAAACTCACGCACATCAAGTACAAAATCCACGCACATTAAGCACAATCTCACGCACATTAAGAACAAAACCCACGCACTTTAAGTATTAACTCACAGACTTTAAGTTTCAACAATTACTAACATTAATCACTAACCTCACACACATTAAGCACAAACCCTACGCAAATTAAGCACAAACTCCACTCACATTAAGAACAAATCTCATGCACCTTAAACACAAAAACTCACACTTTAAGTTTTACCAACTACTCGCATTAAGCACAACCCCACGCACATTAAGCACAAAACTCACGCACCTTATGCACAAGACTCACGCATCTTATATACAAAACTCACGCACATTAATCACAGAACCGCTCACATTAATTTTGACCTAGATTCAAAAATTACAAAATTGCTGTGAGTGTTATTAATAATTATTGTTATTATTATTATTATTATATAACCTATGGTAGTTAGTGTGTGGTGTTAGAATAAGTCTGATGTAATATCCTAGTAGATAGGAGAGTTTAGAGGTAATCTTTGATATACTCTCGTGTAATCCTATCTGCCTGTAACTGAATACAATTTGAATTCTCATCTGGTATTAGCCTAACCGATCCGTTTCCTCTTCTCTCTCTTCCACCACCACCGAAACCAAATCACCACCGTAAACAATTCCCTCCCTCCCGATCGCCGATGTCGTCCAATTCATCGCAAAGAACCCCAACCCCCGCCGATGGCTCTTCCTTGGCTGGTTCAAACCCTTTAGCTGGCGCACGCAATTTCATATCCATGAAGCTCACATCCAGGAATTTTCTTTTCTGGAAGACACAAATTATCCCGTTCTTGCGGGGGCAGGACTTGGAGGGCTTCATCAACGGTAGCTACCCGTGTCCGCCGGCGACCGTCACCACCACCGATGGTGACTCCGGCTCCGATGCAACAACGGCGACTCCGGTTCCGAACCCGGCGTACAAACAGTGGGTTCGCCAAGATCAATCCATTCTTTCACTATTGATCTCGGCGATGTCAAATGAAGTCCTACACCTTGCGGTTGGCCGGGCTACCGCCGCCGAGGTGTGGCATTCAGTGTGCACGGCGCTGGGCTCCACGACTCAGGCAAGGTGCCTGAATCTGCTTGGACAATTCCAGGCTCTCCGGCAAGGCAATGCTACGCCAACGGAGTACCTCGGCTGGGCAGAACTCCTCGTTTAAACCCTAGCACAAGCCGGCCAGCCGCTCACCATGTCGGAGCAGAACCTGTATGTTCTGCGTGGATTGCGACCGGAATACCGGTCATATGCTGCTGCCCTCACCGCCAACGCTCCAGTCTCCCTTCCCCAGTTATCCGATTACCTGCAAGCCGCAGACTTCATCCTTGTGGATGAGTTCGTCACTGGAGGTGGTAACGGCGGTTCGTCGCATGCAGCGTTCTATGCAGGCTATGGCCAGTAGGATGGTCGCGGCAATGGTGGGCAACAGAGTGGTGACGGAGGCAGCCGGAACCAGCCTGACCGAGGCGGACGCAATCAGCGTGGTGGCCGAGGTGGACGCGGCGTGCCGAGGTGTCAGATTTGCAGATTGCAGGGCCATACCGCGGTCTACTGTTACAAAAGATACACAACACAACCGCCTGCACAAGCCCACGTCGCAGTTTCCGGGGACTCACCGGCGTCCGGTGCACCACCGCCCGAATCATGGTATCCCGATACGGGTGCTACGACGCACGCAACCCCGGATGGGGGCATGATGACCACCTCGGATGAATACAATGGCCCGGACACACT